CACCTTCTCCCTGCTGGCAGGGCTCGCTGGGAGCCCAAGGAAATCAGAGTCCCCCCCATGGCACCCCCCTCCATCTCCCCAGGCGAGCCTCTCAAGCTCGCCGGCTCCTGGCGCAGCGTCAGACGGGCTTATCTGTCCTCCTCGGCTTCCTGTTGCAGGGCCGGTTGCGCCTGGGGCTGGTACAAAGCAGCCCGTCTCCAAGGCCGGCACTCGAGAGGCACCGTCTGCCCAGGCCTGCTTTTTTCCCGCTTGGAGCCACCCAGCCCCAAAACGCCACCCTGCAGCCTCCCCGGCCCCACGCTCTGGGGGTGCAGCCCGAGGGGGCCGGCGACACCGATGCCCGCCCTGTCCCGTTACTTGCTTTCAGGGCTCAGAAGAGTTGCAAAGGGCAGGGAGGGAAGAAAAGAAGCCAGCCCCAGCCCCCAGCCAAAAAGGAAGCCCAGCTAAAGCACACTTCCACCAACCCCCTTCGCCCACTCACCCCTCTCCTCTCCTCTCCTCCCATGCCCTCCTACTTCTGCTCCCTGTCTTCGCACGCTGCCTTGCATTCGCTGAAACTTCCCATCTCTGCGCCCAAGGAGGGAAATGAACGCTTCCCTTCCATGCCCGTTTCTCCCAAGACTCATCCTTGGCGCTGCCAACCATATTCCGCCCCACATTCCGAACCCCTCACCACTCTTGCATCCTTCGTGGATTCTCTCAATCTTCTACGACCGACAATGAACTCCATGATATTTTTTCACCCCTTCCTTTCTCCTACTCGCGAGTGAACAGTCCCGTGCTTGAATCCCCCATTCAATCCCCCTTCTCCAAGCAGGCGCTGCCCAACAGTCACCCTTCTCTGCCCGACCGTCGCATTTTCCTCCCCATTCACGCCTCCTAACAGAATGGCCTTCTCCCTGGGCCCGTTCATTCAAAACATCGCACGATTTTGCCCCAAACTCATCCCCGGCTCTTCTATCCCCGCTATTCACCGGAGCAGAACGTGCAACCACTTCCCACCTGTGGGATCCTGCCACAATTGGGAAGGCGCTGATTCATGCTTTCTGACACACATCTCAGCCCTTTCGCTCATCAGCAAACGCACAACTTCGGTGCCACTCCACCAGAGCAGGGCACCTTCGCGTAGATCTGCCCAGCCTTTCCCCTGACAGACAAGAGATCTCTTTCCCTTTCATTCACTAACCCGTGTGCTTTGCCATTCATTCTCCTCCTTCCCATGTGTCCTCCCCAGGTGGCCTGGAAACACTGGGCATTTGGGTACATTTTGGCCCTGGCTTTATGCCAGATTTGTACGCCAACCCAACTATGGCCACATCCCGCTAACTCAGAGGTACATCCATGTACCGACACACACTCGAGATGCAACACGCTCCCAGAGGGCTGTTCTAGCTGGAAGAGACAGCGGCTCAGGTGGGTCTTTGAAGAAGACTGGACGTGGCAGAGGTCTGATGAAGCCTCCTTATCAGGAGCAGTATACCTCTCAGCGCCCAAGACAACCCTAACTCTTCCGGGTTCTGCACGAGACCATGATCTGCTCCTTAATAAGCCCCAGCTGGCTCAGGGCGATGCATAGACCAGCCTGGAGAACTGCAGGCTGAAATTCTCCCTGGAAAGCTCTCAGGCTTTCTAGAGACAGACCTCCAGGCGGGCTGCCTGCGGGAGGAGAGATGCTCCCTTCCCACGAGAGGAAGAACAGCCGCAGGCCTTCCGGGGTCTCGTAGTCGCCCTGCCCCACGCTAGGAGCTTCCCAGTGGGGGTCCTGCTTGGCTGTGCCGGATGCGAAACAGCCCCCCCCCCCCCGCGGCTCTTCCCAGGAACCAGCCCGCAAAGCTTGTTTACAGGGAGGCCTTTCCAATCCCTGCCCTCACCACTTCCGCGAGTCAGGCCAGGCGGCTGGGTGACTCCAGGGCCACCTCCCTTCCGTCCCCATTCCTTCCGCAAGGGAAGGGCGAATGCTTCCCCCCCGGCCATATGCTACCTGCTCCGGCTGCCTGGAGAAAACTAAACTCGGTCAGCGAACGAGGCAAACGCACGCAACCGTCCCGCGTTCGAGAGACAAGGGGAGCCAAGCGAAGGTGGGGCGGGGCGGGGCTGGGCAGGGTCAGAGAAGTGTTTGCCCTTGGCCACGGGAGATGCCCGCCTTCTGGGGCGCCCTCAGCCCAAGGCCTTTCAGGGCTCAGCGGGCAGAGATGGCAAGGCCATGCCATGCTCCCCTCTGGTTCGAGATGGCCATGCTTTGTGCCAGAGGAGACCTTCCCTGCCCACGGCAGCGTTATGCGCACCCTGACCGTTAGCGGGGCGGCGAAACGGCTTCTGGTTGCACCTCACCAGCCAATCTGCACCGCCGGTGGATCTTCTTACAGGGTAAACAAGGCAGGAATGCTGCTTGGGCAAGAACAGCTAGAACGCCTGACTCTAGCCAGAGCGTCAAGGGAGGCCCCACCATCCCTTGGAGCAGCCGGCCCTCCCGTCACCACCACACACGCCCCCCCGACACCCAAATAACCCCCCCTGGAAGACAGTGGAAACGGGCTGCCAGGAAAAACGGGTGCATCAGATTCTCCCCCAGTAGGGCTGGCCCCCCCTGGAAATTTCCAGATTTATCCAAGTCCATCCGTGACACGCTCACCACGAGGGCCCCTAAAGTTGTAATGTTTTTCCCCAAAGCATCTTCCTCTGACCGCTACTCCCGTGCGTGGCATTTGTGTGACTCTGCACCTCCCACTCGGTCAGACTGGAGCCCGTAAAGCAGTGTTTCTCAGTCTCGGCGGCTTTAAGACGTGTGGACTCCAACTCCCAGAATTCCCCAGTCAGCAGGGTGGCCAGGGAACTCTGGGAGTTGAAGTCCACGCTGTTATAAAGGGAGAGCAAGCTACAGGCCGTCAAGGGCACGCCACTCCACCATTCCAGGAAGGCAGGAACAAACTAGATCTGTGCTCACAAACACACATGGGGACGGGGGGGGGTGTCGGGGAGGAGGCAAAAGCACAACCTGCTTCTCACCATCTCCTGGGGGGGGACGAACCCAGTTCGCCCAGCTGAACTGTCTGGGCCAGGCTTTCCCACCCCCTCCCCAGCCCCTGCCAGGCACCTCGCCCGGCTGCCCCTTCCAAATTAAAGACACGCGGGAGACGCCCGCCGGGTGTTCCTGATGGGCCTCCAGTCTCCGCTTCCCCCTCCAGCCCCTGAAACAAGGGGAATGCGACTTCTGACCCCAAAGAGGCCCTCCTGCTGGGAGCAAGGAATGTGGGGGTCAAGGGGCCCTGCCTCTTCCCCCGGGGGAACACGCTGCCCCTCGCAAGAGCCACCACCGGCACTCGTCAAGGGCGCCCCAGCGCAGCAGCCCTTGGCGTGCCTTCTCGGTTTAGGAAACCCAGTGCCACCCCCTTTCTAGCAGGACCCTAACGGCCGAGCAGGACGCAAACTGAAACACTGAAATTGCTACCACGGGTTGCCCCATCAACATGCCAAAGCTTGCAACAAGCCTGCCCCCTGCGGACCCTCTCCAAAGCGTTTTGCTCACGACCGCCGCTTCAATGCCGCCTATGCTACCCCACCCTCCTCTCCAAGGGACCCCCAAGAACAGGGGCTGACCACACGCCCCAGGAGTGGCAGGGTCTCCCGAGCCCGCTTTAGCTCTTTCTCAAATGCGTGCCCGTCCCTTCACACTTTAAAGGGTAACCGAGATCCCGCTGCTAAAGAATAAAACCTGTATCTGTGAGTTGCTTTTGTTTATAAAAACGCCGCCCGAAGTTACTCTGCAATTTGCTCCTCTCGTTAAAAGGTACGGCCTTCTGTGCCCGAGCCAGCATCAGCTTCTCACAAGGGCCCCTGCCCGGCTCCACCTGCCGCCTTGGGGCCGAGGGAGGGGAGACTCCGTTCTCGGTGAACGCAAAAGCCGAGCCCTCTCCCGTGGGTTAGGACTCCAGCGCCCAGAAGCCCCAGCCACCTGATTCTCCCACTCCTGCCAGCACCGTCCGGAAACGCCCACCCTGTCGTGAGAGAGCCTCTATCGCCCCGCAGCATCCTCCGCACCTCAGAGATTCAGCCAGCGCCTTCCTAGCCCCACAAACTCCTGGCAAGAAAGACGCTGCGCCAAAAGGGAGATTTCCATGGGAAGTGGCCCTGTACCGTCTCAGGACAGGCCTCGCCCACCGGCAGGGCTCCGGCCAGCATCTCACCTATCCTCGCCCTGACCCTCCATAGCCCCGGGAAATGGCAGCCGGCCAGACAGACCACCCCCTCGCTATCCAACCAAAGCCAGGGGACTCTGCAGAGGGGCCCCCAGAAGACCGGCTTCCCGGCGGCCAGGAGGTCAGCGGAGGAACAGCGGGTGCAGCCGAGGATCGCCCTCACCTGCAGGCTCGTTTGTGGGGCTCCGGCCCCACAGGGTCTTTCCTGCCTCCCCCAGAAAGGACAGATCCGGTTCAGCTGGAAACCCAACCAACCTCTTCAGCATCCCGAAACGGGGAGTGTGGGCCCCGTGACTCCGAGCGCACAGCCGTGAGGGAAACTGGACGACGAGGCCCAGGGGCGTTCCTGGGATTGAATCACTTCCTGTCCGGATTTCTCGCTCCGGCCGGAGAACAGGCTGCTCGGCTCCCATTGCAACATGCCGGCGGGGCTCCATTCCATCTGGACCAGCTCCCTTTCCCAGCTCTGTGGGGGAGGCAGCCCGGGCGTCCTTTTCTGTCATTGCGCAAGAGGAAATGCTCTCTGCAACCTGGCGGAGCCAGGACGACCAGCAGAAGATGCATGGCCCCGGCGTTACACCGCATCCCCGGGACTGACGCATGGCCCCAGCAAAGCGAGGGCCCAGCTGCCCGTGGGTTGAGAAGGGGCTGGAGCACCGGCCGGGTGCAGCCACCTGCCCTGAAAATAAAGCAAGTGAGGCGAGGAACTGGGCGGAATGCGTACTCCTGTGGGTGGGCAGAGTTAAAATGTGGAATTCCTCCCCACGAGATGTGAGAGAAGAGCCATGTGGCTACGGACGAGAGGGTGAGCTGAAGTCTACCACACAGGGACCTCTCCCTGCCCCCTGCCCCAAAGCAGCAAGATGCCTGTAGAGTAACATCCCGTGCCAAAGGCCGGATCCACAGTTCCTCAATGCCCGCAGGATGGCTAAGGAGGCAGTTCTTAACAGCTCTGCCCGCCTCTTTCTGCCCACGAGGAGACTTAGCCACCTTGCCCAACGCTTCCCAAAACTAAATTCTGATGTTATCTTTGCAATCCTACCAAAACACGCCCTGGCTCCCCTCGCCCAAAGGATCTCCCCTCGCCCAAAGGATCTCTAACTGATCCCAAAGGGATCCCCTCCTCTGGATCTCAACAAGCTCAGCGTCTCCCCAAGACGGAAAGGGGCCCCACCTTGATTCGGGCAAGACACCCCAATCCTCCCTCTCTGCCAGCTCGTCTGGGCCCAGGCTCTGGGCTTCCAGGAGCTCTGAAGGCTGCGCAGGCCCCGGAGCCCCCCTTGGCGCCTGCCTTCCTTCCTGTGGGCTGCCCGGGTCAGGCGCCAAGGCTCGGCTCGAGACGCCGAAGCAGCCCTCGCGCAGGCGAAGCCCCGTGCCACCCACCCGGCTCACAGCCAGGCCCAGAGCAGCACGCAAAGGCTGTGCCCACGAGAGCCAAACCAAGCAGGCCTGCGCAGGACCAGGAGCGCTGGAGGGGAAGGCCTGTGGAGCCCTGCCTTCTCCGGCCGCCCACCAGAGAAACGCAGAGGGAACAAAAGGCAGGCCAGTCAGTCGTCTTGGCGCTGGGAGGAGCGATCTGGTGCGGCTGCCTCCCCTGGTGGGGCCTGGTCTTCCTGATCCCACCTTCTTTCAGCTTCTGGAAGCAGGATGACCACAGCTCCCCCCCAGAGCCGGGAACAGGAGCCCACGCCACCTCAACTGACCGGCAGCTTTTGCGGAAAGGAAACGGCAGGCCCCCGGAGGTTCCCAGCACCAGCGTCGCTGCCAGCCCCCCTCGGAAGGCAGAAACGGGCAAAACGACCTGATCTAGTCGCAAAGGCCGCCCAGACGGGACAGACGCTTTTCACGTCCAGCACCATTTTTGCCAAACAGGGAAAGGGGAGATAGGGGGCTATCTCCCCCCGGTCCAAGCCCCACTCAAGCGTTCACGTTGCTGTGGCTGAGTTGGCTCCTATCGATGCAGCAAAGTTGTATTACTTCTTGGGGCTGCTTCCTAACCTTTAAAGAGGTGAAAAGGGGCCATTCGGGCTGGCCAAGGGAACCCCCGCCCTTGGGATTTCCCAAGGTGCAGCTCTGCTGGGGTCCCTCCCTCGATTCACCCAGGAAGGCCCCTCCGCCCGCCCTCCCTGCCACCTCTCTCCAGAGACCCCGGGCAGGAAAGCCCTCCCACTCCCTCTCTCTTTCCAAGGGCCTGGCAGTGCCATCCGTTGCGGGCCGGAGCACACGACCAGCTTCCACGCTCTGTGGCCCTCCTCCTGCAACGCTCGCAGGAGTTTGCTGCCAGCATAAATCCAAACGGAAGCTGCCTCTGCTCTAGAGACCGTCAACGGGAAGCCCCGGTGGTCTCCGCGCTCCGGACACAACCGCTAGGAAAGCCTAACGGCAGGGGCTCCGGCCGGCAGAAGGCCTGAGAAGAAGCCGTCTCCCCCCCCCCTCAGCGCCGGGAGCGGGGGAA